GCATGCGCAAAGTTAAGTGTCAAAAAAATAGTCTAATTATTTGAAAATGTGTATAATAATGTTTATTAGTTAGCCGAAAAAGCAGAATTGAAATATATGWAGCCTGCACATAGTTATTGAGTGTTTCCACTTATCGTGATCACACTGTACATTAAATTTAAATTTTTATGATATTATTTAAAATAATAGTATGATATGTTGATGAATTATATTTTATTTAAGTCATTATTATACTATATCTATACTCTAATAGATATGTTTTTAGATTCTATCTTGTCAGGCTTGTTTTACAACTCTTTTCCTAATACAGTAGAACCTCAACTAACCTTCAGTCTCGGGACCAGAGCTTTGACGAATAATTAAAAWGACGGTTAAGCGAACAACAAAAATTTAAACAGTGCTTACTTACTGCACTTTCTTCCCTTCGTAAACGTTTAATAATATCCAATTTTTGAGATAAATCAAATACAACATGCTTTTGTTACAATATATAATTCAACCTCCAACCTCCCCACGCAACTGATTACTATTCATCCATGTGACCAAGTCTCATTCGAACTCTTTACTATCTTCTATCTTCATTAATAATTATATTTATAATTTAAAAATGTTATTGTTTGTATATTATTTGATTTGTTTTTKACTCCTACTGTATTAAAATAAAATATTACTCAGAAAAAATGTTATACCAACAAATCTAAATTTTTCTTAATACTTTTTTTAAAGTTTAGATACATTATTTTGTAAATATATAAATTATCATGATTATGGAATAATTTAACTTCATAATATTAATTTAATACTTGAAAATAGATTAACTAAAAATGTATTAATTTTTTTAAATCACAAAAATTATATTCATATATTAAATTAAATGCTTTGTATGTAATATATATTAATTATTTTTTAATCAAGTTAATATGTGACTGTTGTATTTTAGTACCATGGGATTATGAAGAGTACTCTCGCGAGGAAGAATTAGATATAGAAACTAGTCTAGAAGCCATGGTAGATGCTACAAGAAGTAAAGTTGTATCAGTGCGATCTGAAGATTCCAGCAGGCCTATTATCCTGGCTGGTGTTGGAGTCAGTGCTGCTATAGCTTGTCAAGTAGTTATATTTTATCAATTCATATTTTTACAAACTATAATAGAAAATAATAAATATGAGTATTAATCTGAATATAGTACCAATGTTGATATATTAATATGCGTCATCCTACAAGGCATATCTATAAATCTTTTTAAAATGAGGTAAGAGTTAAAAATTTTAAAGATCTAAAAAAAGGAGAGTTGTAACTAATTACTAGTGTGGAGAATTGGATTTGAATACAAATCTACTAGTTGAAAAAAAAAAAACAAAAAATTATTTATAAGTTTTATGCAACTGTGTAGAACACAGATAGTTGATATAGACTTTTGTCCTATCCAATCTCGTCATATTTGTTGTTTTTTTTCTTTGTGGAAACATTTCAGTCATAATTCATAACTTTATTTACATGGTATAATATTACTTACTACAAAATAATAAATGTTTATTTTTAATAATACATGTATACATGTATTGTAATAAATATCGACTTATATTTGTTTATATATTTTAGGTAGCTGTTTTAGAAAAAGTTGAAGGATTAGTATGTATTGGGTTCATTGTTAATTCATCTGAAGTAAAAAGAGGTTATGAAGGTGATTGTATTTTGGGTCTTGACTGTCCTACAGTTTTTGTGACTGGCCAGCTAAGCATTTTTTCACCGTATGTTGTTACTTATTTTTTTTTAGTACATTAAATATAAATTATTCTTAATTGCATGTTTCTAAAATTCTATAGGGTTTTGGATATGGAAGAATTAAGAGTAAAGTTGAAATGTAAGACCAATCATATACTAGTTGGTGGTGCAAATGATGAATTGGTCATGAACCATACTACTAAGATGAGAGAAGCAGTCACTCAAAAACTTGTTGACCGATGTGTTTTGGTATAATTTAAACTTTTCACTTTTAATGGGATGCCATACTTGTACATGATGTTTCCATCTTAAGAGGACGTCACACCCACATGTGTTGTCTCCATCTTAAAAGTGTGTAACATTACAAATTTTATGCACAGCAGTTCCAATTTAGCTCTGTTAGTTTAAAATGTGAATTGACCTCTTATAAAAATTAAAAGTAACATTATTATCTAGGTTATCACAGAGGCTTTTTATTATATTAATTTAATTTTAAAGCGAGTTAGAGTATTTTAAAAATAATTAATTGTTCTATATTCTAAATACTCTAACTCGCTCTAAAATTAAAATATAATAAAAAGTTTCTGTGATAAACTAAATAATAATGTTACTTTCAATTTTTATACGAGGTTAATTCACTCTATATTTTAAACTAACAGAGCTGAATTGGAACTGCTGATCGTAAGATTTTCTATGTTACACCTTGTAAGATGGAGACAGCAATGCGGGTATAGCCTCCTCTTAAAAATGTAAAACATATTAAATTTTAGTTTAGCTGATCATTTCATTCTTACAACCTTAATTTGGTCTGCTAAATACAAATTTGGTATGTTGTATGTTATAAGACAGAAAACATATACAAGTATAGCGTCTTCTTATTAATGAACTTTTTACCAATATATTCAATATTTTTTTACAGGAAGAAATTGGAAATTTCTTGAAAGACATTTTGGAACCTTCCCCTAAAATAATTCGTAAACCTGATGTTGAAAATACAGATTTTAAAAAACCCGTATTCTCAAAAAAAAAACCTAATAGTAAGATATGAAAACTTTTGTTAATACTTTTAAATCTATTGTACTTAACTTCACATTCTGACAACTAACTTACTTTTTGTCTTTAAATTTAACTTAAATTTTTTTATTTCTATAGATAAATCTTCAGCACGCCTCAACAAAGGAAGCCAAAAACTTATGGTTTCTGCCAATAAACAAACTCCTAAGAGACAAACTGCAAATCGCAAGGTTACCAAAACATCAAATTCGTCATTATCTTCTAATGTAATAGCAAAAGATGAAGAACTTATGCCACCTCCTTCAAGTTCTGTTAAACAAGAATATTATCTTCAGTGTGAAAATGCTGACTCTACCTCAAACAGTATTCGTAAGTTATTTCGGAAAATATTTAATTTATCTACTTTTTTATCTTATTTTTAATCACAAAAATGTTACTATCCCAAGTTTAAATATATTGTGTGAGTAGGAAGTGAGTGGAATATAGGAAGTTCAACCTCCTTCTAATTAAAATATAGAAAGTTTATGAATCAATTTATAAACGTAAAAAACTTCCAAAATATTTTAAAGTTTTTTTTTTATTATTGTGATGAACCTCCCACCCCTATTAATTTTCTGTTTACACTGTATACTTCTATTGCAATGAGAAACAATATTTAAAAAAGATACTCAACTCAAGGATATTTAGTAATTGTTATCAAAAAAGTTAAGCGTTCTTAATTTTATCTATTTAATTTTTGTTTTTTTTAGAACAAGAAGATAATATGTTTATACCAAAATTAGGGAATCAAAAATTTTCTACTCTAGCAGAATTGTTACAGGAACAAGACAACTTCAATTTCAATGTTTCTCAAACAAGTATGTTCCGATTAATACATATTAGTGTTTATTAGTGTTGAAGTGTTTGTTAATTATATTCTTATCCATTAATGATATATTATTTTCTGAAAACACTATAGCTTCATCTTTAACATCTATGAATGGTTCACCTGTAATTTTCACGCCAGACCAAAAGAATATTGTGGTATGCAGCTCAAATTTCCAGTCTCTACAAGATCAATCTGCTGCTCCTGTTGTGGAAGAAATAACACCTGATCAAATATTGGATATGCCAATAGTCTTTGCAGATGAACCTCAAGAAGAAGAAGAAGTTGAAGTAAAACATAATATTGATAACAGTTCCTATTTCATCGCAAATTTAAATGAATTTAATGAACGGAAAATGGTTGTCAAAGAAGAACCTGTTGATGAAGATGACAATTTTGATGTCTTATGCCCTACTATTTCAAGGACTACGATTCCTGAGCGTCTAAAAATTAAACAGGTATGTATAATAATTAGTTATTGCATCACTACACTTAAATTGAAATATTCTAAATAAATATGTAATATACTCTAAAAAATATATGTAATATAAAATACCACAATTTCTTTTTGTTTCCAAAAAAGTAAACTTATAGTTTTATATTTAATAAATTATAATATTTATTAATTTTACAGGTTGCATATGACTCACCTTCCAAAGTCAAGCTAGTAGTAAACAAAGCACCAAAAGGACTTGTACCCAGTGGTTACCAAACATTCTCTGTTCCCAGTCAAAATTCAGGAAATATTCAATTTGTTAACAGATTACCCATATCAGGTAATAAAATCAGAAGAATTGAAGGAGGAATGAATTCTAGGGTTGTGCCAAAAACTGTGTCGATTCGTCACATACAAGACAGTAACATTAAAATTCTCAAAAGTAATACAGGACAACAAATAAATTTAAATAAAATTAAAACAATGGCAACCACACAAAAGTTTAAGAAAATTATATAATACCAAATTTTAAGACTAAAGTGATGAAGATGCGCACACACAACCTTCACATATTGCTGTTAACAAAAGCAAGTTAGTTAATAAAATATTTATATTTATGTTTTTAATATATAATATTACATATTATTGATGTATTATATTAATTATACTATACGTCACAAACTTATATATTATGAACACGAATAAATCCGTTTCGTTTTTTGCGGTTTGAAAAATGTAGTGACTTTTTTCAATCTTAATGGTGTTCTATTTGTGTGTTTTCCAAATCTAACCATTTGTACCTTGTTCCATGCAAAAAAAGGTTTCCTCAGTGCTTTGATTATATGGTGTACGCTTATTTTCCACCAGCGAGTAGCTATGGACGTCTTATCATAAGGTTTACCAAAACGAGGACATTGTGGTGGTTTTCTGGAACAACGTTGTAGAAATGCGTGTGTAGGCACCAAAACGCGCATTTGCTCAAATTTCAACATCACTCTAAAATATATATGTTTTTGCATGTTTACACAATTTTATAATCGATAAGTATTCGTTGGATTTTTTATTATTATTCATCAATTATTAGTATTACCTGGGTTCATCGCTATTGGTCAAAGACAGCAATATAATGGGACTAGGAATTTTTTGTTTGCGTCCTTTAACAGGTTTGCCGAATAGTCCTCTTTGCTCTGCCATTCGTATCAAATGGTTTGCGTCAAAAGTCATCAGTTCCTTGAAATCAATCATTACAATGTTGTGCATTAGGTATTTGCCCAGTTGTCCTCATACATTCTTGCCCTGCTGTTAGAAATATACTTCTACTAGCTTCCTAGTTTACTGAACAATTTTAATTTGTAAAATGCATGCTACTTAATAATGATACAACTTTAAAAATGACACCATGTATTTATGAATAACATACAATTTACGTATTAATTTTTTCTTATTTTAAATAAACCACTAAAACCCACTGAATAATTAATGTGTCGCATCATGAATTATAATAATTAATTGTTATTTATAAAGATTATGCAGTGGAATCACACTTAAAAAATGATTTAAATTTTACTCACGAGAATACACGCTGTAAGACTTAATAATAGTTTGTAACTAGGTGTATATTTTGATTTAATTTTTGCCTTATTTATGAATAACGACTAGAACATCAATAAAGAACATAAGTTGCATACTGGAAATTTAATCAGTCTAGAACTCGAAAGTTATAAGAAATAAAAAGGAAAAAAAATATGATATATTATGCATGAATGAAAAGATGTCAGATATGCAAAGAATTTTTATAAATATTTTTAAAAATTCAAAATTCAAAATTCCAAAATATAAAATATAAATCATTTTTGGTTGGTAATAATTAAACTTTTCGTCATTTTGACAACTTGTTTAAAAAAAGCTAAAACACTTAAAATTRTCATAGGAATGATAATAGGTACATGAGAATATAAATCGATAGAGATTAAATCAGCATCGTTGTCACTTGTCGTTAAATTAATGGTCAAGAGCGACGAAAACAATAAAAACCTACATTAATTACTCGTATATTATTAAGTTTTATATTCATTTTTATTGAACGTAGATAGGTATATATGTATATTATATATAAATAGGTACACAGCTTAAGAAAGAACTTTTTTAGAAAATATGAAAAATTTGCATYTTTCATTTTTAACTCACAATTGTATAGCTTGAATTTCTAGGTTGATCTACTAGAAAACATACGAGTATATAATATAATATGGGACTCCTACTTCTGAGCTCTGTATTAATTACCTACGGTATATATTACTCACCACCCTTTTGACGGCTGCCAAATAAAGGCTTCCAGTAACATGATTCTTCTCCATATTCTCAATTGACTTATCTGGATACAGTATCATGGTTTCAAACCGATCCTTGTCGGGAATCTTAATATAAATGTTAACACATTACAGTGATGAACATAAAAAAATGTAATATACATTTTTTTTAAATTTTTTTTTTTTGAAAGTATTTAATATATAGTCATAGTTGAATCGGTCTCGTGAGGRTGCGCTACAGAATCATTGGGCAGGATATACTATTAGTAATATGTATATAGTTACCTATAAATAAAAGCCTTAAAGTACGCTTTCCCTGCAGCGTCAAACAGCACCGGTGCCAAACGTCGAGTATATAATTAATAGACGCCGATTATAATATATTAATATTATGCCCTGTCTGATATAGTTGACGCTAAACGCTGCAGGAAAAACTTACCTTTCTAGTCCTTGAATCTTTTATGTATCTATTCCTGACATTATTTTTGTACTAGATTTAAACATATTGAACTATACTTTTCTGTGATTCTTTAAAGAGTACATAAATAATTTCGACATTTTTTCCAATTTTTTTTCACTTATTTTAAATAGTAGAAATATCTATATGACCTATATTATACTCTATTTTTTGATTTAATGGTGTTTTATTAATTTCATATACACCGACCATCGTGTACCATTTAACCTAGGTATCTTAGATATATCATAGCGAAAAAAGCAATAAAATGAGTATTAAATAATAATAATTAAATACAATAACCCAAATACTGATCAGTGATGATTATTAAAAGTTAGTAAAGCACCAGGATACGATTTAATAACCAACGAAATTCTAAAAAATTATCCGATAAAATTCTGATTTGTATTACTTACACTTTAAATTACATGTTCAGACTCTCATTATATCCTTTAATATGAAAACTATCAACAATCATACTCATTCCCAATAATTATAGTCTATTTACGACTTTGGCCAAGATATTTGAAAAAGTCATTCTCCAGAAAATTATACCAATACTTCAGACACTTGATATTATCCTTTACTCTCAGTAACCATACATCAATATAMAAAGACTAACAGATCTAATATCGTCATAATTCGAAAATAATCACTATACTGTCCTGGTGTATTTATAGATGTTTCGCAAGCATTCGACCGAGTTTGGCATACAGATCTGCTTTCTAAACTAAAACATGCATTTAAGAACTGTCCCATACTTATTCTTAATAATTAAATCTTATCTTCAAAACCGAACTTTTGTTGTTCGGCGGTTTAACTCCTTTTCGTTCTACTTTTGTATTCAAGTTGGAATGCCACAGGGTAGCAAATTGTCGCCCGACTTTTTATTTTGGCTAAAAACAGTACGAAGAATACGATTTTGGTTGAAAACTGTCATGCCCGAATAAAAGCACTGCTGTTTATTTAAAATAAATAAACAAAAACAAAGAATCGGGTAAGTAATATATACCAACAATTTTTACTACCTAGTACCTGACAAACAAACGGTTCTTCAATTAAGGTAAATATGTATTATATTATTTCATTATATTATATTATAATTTATAATGCACACAAACCTGAACCGGTTGGAAAACCGTAGGCCGCCAAGGTGTCTCAACCGAAGTGTTGAACTTGTTGCTGTCGTCGGCGCTCACCGATGAATAATTGTCCATGTTATGCTTCTCGTACGCCCATCCGTTCATCTCTTCGACCACAGCCTTGACCATGCCACCGTTTTCCAGCTCCAACCGGGAATGCGTTTCGTACACAACGATTTGCACCTATCACGTATAGCATATCTTATTATATATACGTATATCGAATCTCCAATACTTAAGTGATTTACAAAACTCCCTAGACGAACTATCCTTATGGTTCTCAAAATGGAAACTAAAACTAAACCCAACTATAAGTGTAGCAAAAATATTTACCCCAAAAAATACATGAACTTTAATACAAATTAACAACCAGGAAATCCAATGGAACAAGCTTAGGTTAGAATAGGCTGAGAATACTGTACCCCCTACTAAACCACAGCTCAACTATACAGATGAAATGCTCTCTACTCCTATACACAGCAATAATAAGACCACTTATAACCTACGCATGCCGGGTATGGGCATCACTGCATCAGCTTCACAAACAAAAATAAAAAAACTTCAAACTCTCCAAAATAAATGTTTAAGAATAGCCCTAAAGACTCCATGGTTCATGAGGAACAAACAACTCCACAATTATACGGGCCTAGTGGCCTACTATACGTTTCTGCATGGATAACGCAGAAATTTAAAAATKTTCACGAAAAACTCAACAAAGCACACGGAGCACTCCACTATAAAATCGGCAGAAGATCCATCAACCTAAGTTTAAAACTACGGCTACCACAGGATATACTACTTGAACCTAAAGAAGATACCTCAGATTCAGACATGGATCTGGACATATAATTAACCAAAAATCAGTAAAAATTGTAAATAGGTACTATGTAAACACATCATAATCAAAATTGTAAATTTATGACATTGTAAAAATACTCGGTGTATTGATACAATTAAATTAATAAATTAAAAAAAATTTATATATATAAGTATATAGCTCCAATATAATCGGTATAAAAAGTCGGCATTTTAAATGTATAATATTCATACTCAGCACCTTCATAAGGCAGGGTGCTTTTACCATATAGCCTTGATTTTATGTAGATAGGTACAATAAAAAAGACGAGTTGATGAGCAAAAAAAAAATTATCATTTATATTTCATACTCTATACTTTTATACATCGCCGAAATTAATAATTTAGATTTACCATTTACCTAGCATATTTTAATATTCTCGCAACGGTATATGTTGTAGAATCTACAATGTAGATGATTCGCACATGATCGGAATTTCAAATATATTCGCGTTCATGTAGATAATAAATAACTACAAAACAATAGTCATGATGATGAGGGTAACTCGACTAGTGCAGTCGATATAATACTGGATAGGTAAACTTTTTTTTTCTATATTACCGACAGCAGATTAGGTTATGAGTGAACAATACTATTCTTTGCTGCCATCGTTTATTGATGTAGGTACCATTATGCCAAAATAGAAATAATAGGATGTAATAGATACATCCCCAGCATTGGTTTACTATAAATATTCGAGTATGATAATGTTCTCATATATTTTATGCTTTCAATAATACAATAAAGACTGCAATATTAACACCCAAACATAATTAATCTAAAATGTTATAGGTATCTACCATGAATTATTATTTACCATTGAGTCCGCTAGCTCTAAGGACAGCCCACTATGCCTACCTACTTGAAATTAATTTATATAGTATCGTGCGTTAGCCACAATCAAAACATAAAACGTACACAAATAAGTTATTCATATTTAATATTATAATAAATAGTAGATATTTAAATTATGCTGGTTAAATAGAAATATAGAATATTTATGATTAATGTTATAAATGTTTAATTTTGTTTTAAATACATTTGTATAGTATATACATCAGTTTTTACTTTCGTAAATAATATTTTTATTTTCTGATCACTGTTCTTATTTTTAAATTTTAAAATTATTTTCACTTTTCTATAGTTTCTTTTCATTCGTGAAAAATAAAACCTATTAAAACCATTACACCTTTTTAGTTTCATAGATACACACTTCAACAATGAATGCAATTATTAACGAAGAATTATATTTTTCAGAGACAGATATACAGATCCAAAATAGTTTTATGCCCCTCAATGTTTCAATACAATATTATGAAATGCATAATATAATGTCATATATGCTAGAAGTTCAGTTTTCACTGTATAGTGCTGTACTAATCTATGTAAATTACAATATTATCATTGTAGTCGACCGGCATTCGCGTGTTCTCGCTTATGGTGTGGATTAGGCCTACAGGGGACACTACAATAAAAAAAAGCCCCACATGTGATACCTCATACCTACTTTTAAACAACACTGGAAATGTGATAACATCGTTAAACAAGCAAAGGTGGTGTGGAAACTACACGGTCAATATAGGTATTCATCCTATAACGAATACTTTCAAGTTATATACATGTATAACGCAAATAATATTTAAGCACTGGAGGCATGATAGGCAATAGTTATTCAATCCAAAGTATATAGAAAATTAATGTGATGGGCTAAAATTAAAATCATATTATATTGTAATCGGAATAATATGCACCTGAGGTTTAGACATAGCCATCCGCAAAGTGTCTCTCTGGTCCAACATACAAGGTATATCCGACGATTCTTCGGTGTAGTCCAACGACGCTACGGCCCTTAGTAACGTAAGGTCTCCACCTTTCGAACACACCAACTGAACTGGATCAGTGACCTGTATAGGTACGTAAATCATTTCTATACTAAATCACTATAATTTATAAATTTTAGTAGTAGATATATATTATATATTGCAAATCACGAGAGTCTCGCAATTTTTCCTATAGTTGACCACCTACTATAATACTTGAATAGTCAATAATAAACTATAGGCGTCTATTTACAGCCAACGGCATAATGCATAAATACTAGCTTATCCTTAAAATTAACTTGATTATTTGAACACCTGCTATATATAGTGAAAATAAAATTTAAAATAATATTCACAAATTTTATAAATTGGACATCCTGAATTATAAAGATAAGATATACACGAAAATAAATAGTTTTGTTTATAAGTGTTTTGAAAAATACTATGAACTATGGTTATATAGTTATAATTTGATGATATTTTTGCTTCTAAAATACAATATTAATATTTTTAAAAACCGGGTAWGAGGGTAACGCTCTGCTGTACATTATATAGGTATCTAGAGAGCCACAGTAATGAACGTGTTAATTAGTATGAATTCAAAAATATAAAATAATTATTTTACGCAAATAGTAAAAACACAGATTTTTTAAATATTGTAAACAAAAAACAATTCAAAGCGAATAAGATGTGTCTGCTAATATTAATAGCATAATATTTGACCTTATGATAGGTATTAAATTAATTAATTTTCGTATTAGACATTACTAGTTAAAAATACAATAGGATTAATTGAATTAATTATTTCAGAAAAAAAATGAATTTATAAGCCCCATTGAGTGTATAAATATAAAATATATAATAATATACTTTAAAAGTTTCAAGAATGTACTTACGAATTTTGTGCTACTTTAAGCCCTAATGCCAGCACTCAGAGAAAATTTGTTAAAATATAATCGACAAATGTCGATCTTACCCCAGTGTTGGTGTTTGGTGGTGTAGCCAGTATGGACACGATGTCCAGCGAAAGTTGATTATTAGAKTTCGACTGGAGGAAATCTTCGGTGATTAATTTGCAGTTCTGCACGCCCAAATTCACGAAGTAGTTGTAATAGTCATTTTTCCTTGAACACAAATAGAAAATATACAAAAGTTAATACTCAAAACGTACCAGCAATTATTATTTACGTATATATTATAGCATAGCAGCCATTACGATATTTCGATGGCTATATATATATTCGTAAAAAATTAAAAACAAATCAATATACCTACGCCTTACATAAAATAAAATATTATCGTAATACTATGTTGAAAAAAGTTATAAATTACAATTTTTCAAAATTTAGAATAATAATAAATCCTTTATGCTTTAAAAAAGAACTGATTTAAATTGGTTATTACACGATTAAGCATAAAACATCGTTTTTACGACATGATTGAACAACTTTGTCGGCGTATCAAATGTTTACAAATACAAAAGAAAACTTACATCGTTGAGTATAAAAACTCTGCAATGTTGTCATTTTCAATTTTGAACTATTATATTGTACAAAAAATGTTTGTTTAAATAATTATAATAATTCAAAATATAGAAATAATTAAGTCTCCGATCAAATTATTATTATATTATTTCGGAAATGGATATTTTCACTTAATTTTTTTAAACAGTAACATTTTCGATAAAGCTTCAGGGCTCGGCTCACTGCTCTAGGCTCGTTTAAGTTTGGTAACATAATAATTGGTGTTATAAACTAATAATACGTGAAAATAATAAATTAAAAATTGTCGGCAATGTGAATGTAACAACGTCACATAAAATACGTTCAATCATGTTGCTAAAAAGGTATGTACTCAATTTTATTGTGTTGCTAAAAAGCATAATATGCTCAATCGTGTTACTAAAAAGGTATATTATGTTCAATCGTGTTGTGCTAAAAACATATATTATGCTCAATCGCTCTTTACCGATCAAATTCAACGTTATGCGTTGTAAATTGTTATTGTTTTATTGAATTCACTGTATACAATATTATATTATACTCAATCATTGTATCTCATTTTCACGAATTAATCGATTTATACTACTACGACGACGTGCTCATTTATACTGACGCTTCAAAAAGCTCAAACGGAACCGGCTTTGCAATAGTARATGGTACTGAAGTCATAAAATTCCGACTTCCGTCATTCACTAGCATATATACGGCGGAATTATATGCGATATACACGGCAGTACAACATGTAGCCACTTCCCACATCTC